ATAGAGGTTGGTTCAATTCGGGCGTGGATTCGCTAGGTAATTGAGAGTATACCTGTGTAATTCCTTTATATCTTCTTAGTGGATTGTTTTGTGGCTGTTGCATGTGGTTTTTTATCACAATTGGAGGTGTCCAATTGTGGTTTTTCCACGTTAAAATCATTGTGTCGATTTGTCTTGATTGTTTGATTGGGATTGTTTTATTGCTTAAAATTGATACATAATCACAAATCAACATTTAGAGGATTTCTAGATTTTTCAGGACCATTGCGTGAAACCCAGATAGGAGTCCAGGCATTAGTAATACAGGCATCAGAGATCCTAGAGGACCAAACATGCGAGAAATTAAAGGATCTGAGCATAGTGTGAATGAAACTCCATTCTAATCAGTCGTAAGCTTTATCCAAATCCAGTTTGATCAACATGTTGCCTTTCTTACCCTTTTTTTTTTTTTTAAAAAAAAACAACGTTATCTAAATCCAGTTTGAACCACCTCTTGCACGAGAACAACGTTATCCACTCCTCTTCTACCCGAGATAAAACTAGTTTGGAGTGGGCTGATAAGATCATCCAGTAGGGGGCGAAGTCTAGCAACTAGGATTTTTGTGATGAGTTTATACACTGTGTTGCACAAGCCAATAGGATGGAATTGAGTGATCATCTCAGGATTGGGGACCTTAAGAATGAGGCAATATGACCAGATTCAAAAGCATCCGCAACTACTTTGACAACCAAAGAGGCCAAGGTCAGCCAAAATTTATGGGGAAAAAAAATGGGGTGAAAACCATCAGGTCTGGGAGCCTTCCAAGGTTTAAAAGACCAAAGAACTTTCTTTATCTCATTCTGGGGGGATGTAGCCGAAAGGGAGGAGTGACATGCCGAATCAATAGAAGGGAGCAAATGGAAAATCGAATCAAAACGCTAAGATTGAATGAGGGAACAAGTGAAAAGATTCTTGAAGTGAAGAAGAATATCATTCTTAATAGTGCCGACCTCATACACCCAAACATTATCGGAATTTTTCAAAGCAAAAATTTTGTTGTGTTTGCGATGAGAAATGGTAGTTTGGTGGAAAATTTTAGTATTTCTATCCCTATCAAGAATGAAATTGACCCCGACTCTTGAGAGCCCAAAATTCTTCCTCTAGACAAAGAACATGGTTATAATCAGAAATGAGAGACTCTTCGAGTCGAAAAAGAAAAAACAAAAACATTGCTTCTGAGAGTTAATACCATTGCATATCTAACAATTCCAACAATATAAATTGGCCTTCGTTTGGCATAAGTTAAAATGAGACTTTTTTGTTAAAATAGTCACAAAAAGACAAAATAGATTTTTTAGCCCAATATGACAAAATGTTATATGCAAATCATAATCATTTCATTTTTTCTCTTACAAAAGTCAAAAAAGTCAAAAACCTATTCGAAACGAAACTTTTTAATCCCAAACTAAAATAGTCGAAAAGTTAAAAAGCCAAAAAGTCAACTCACATCCTAAACAATTAGTATAAGATGGATCTCAAAACTGATGAAAAGAGTCTCTACATAGAGAGGATAACAAGCTTGCACGTAAGAAAGAGAAACCTTTTACGAATGGAGAAATAGCTATGCAAAGAGGCATTATTGCAACACACACACACACACACACAAACACAAAATTTCCAAAACAATCACTACTAAACAAACATTATGAAATTTATGCATGATCCATCCATCGTTACAACCTATTATGATGTTATAATTCCTATCTCTACGTTACAAAATAAATCATTTTGGATCTAAAGTGATCGCCTAGTATATAAAAACATGTTTAGTAGTATTGGATCTCAATCATGAGTCAAATTTGAGCATAAATATGAAAGCTTCCTCAGTAGTAGACCAATGATAGAAATAGAAAAAATGGTAGCAATTAGCGTGGTAATAAACAAAAAAGATAAAACAAGATCTAATGAACAAATAACAATAGAGAAATCGTCGTTTAATAAACAATGGGGAGATAAAAGTTAGAAGAGTAGCCCTCTCCCTCCAAAGAGTAGATTTCAAATATAAATTTGTGAGAGCGGCTCATGTGAACTATAATTTTTTTTTTTTTAACTGTACGTGTTCTACACTTAGGTTATCTAAATTTTAATTTTGTCAATTTTATTCTTAAAATTTTAATCTAAGTTAAATTGATCTAATTTCAAAGAAACCTCTAAATATCATTAAAATGTGTGTTTTGTGCTATATTGGTCTTTAAAGTTTCAATTGTGTTAATTTATTCTCAAAATCTCAACATTACGAATCTAAACCTAGAATATAATAGGTGACATAATCACATCCAAATTTTCAGACAATCAGAAATTATAGTATTGAATTTGCATCTTTTCCTAGATTCCGATCATCCAAATATAGACACATAATGTTTGGGGCCAAATTTAATAAAGTGAAAAATTTAGAAAATCAAAGTAATATGAAAAGCAAATTTTACCATGGTGTACTTTACCATCATTTCAATAAAAATTTAGACAACCATTTAAAATTAGATAAAATTTAAAAATAAAATTAACAAAATTAAAACTTAAAGAACCCAAATAACACAATACACATGCTTTATGAAGTGGGCTCGCCAGTAACACTGTCCTTGCAAGCTGGTGATGAACAGTGAACCAAAATGTAATGAGATTTTATTTTATTTTATTTTATTTTTTTGGGTGGGGGGGGGGAAGGGGGTTTTGCTCACGCTAAACTGATAAATATAATTTTAGAGGAATTTGGTCACAACCGTTTTATAATAAAATTTTTATACATTAAAAACAAGCATATATCATTATTATTAAAATATTTTTAGTGACTAATTTAATATTTTAAACTTTAAAATGATATAATTTTTTATCTGAATGTTGCTTTTTAATAAAATTAACATTTTAGAATCTTCTCGTCAATATCTATTAAACAAGATTCATGTTGGCCATGAAATTTAAAAAATAAAATAAAATAAAATATTTACCATCAAAATTAATGTCAACAGTATAATTTTACCTTATCTCACAAAAAAATTTACTATGATTCTTAGTAAATTTTACTATAAAATTCTAATTTTTAAATAGTAAATAACTATCATCATCACTAAACATCATAGTTAATATATATTTTTATTGAGGACGTCGTAGTCACTATAATTGTTAATAAACAAAGGAGTTTTGGCCAAAAGTAAACTTCTACTCGCATTTATAATATAGTCACCAAACAAAACTCAAACCAAAATAAAAATTTCACTGTGAATCAGCGTAAAATTTGAATGTTGACGTTAGTTTTGACAAAAAAAAAATTAAGATTTTTTTTTTAAAATTTCATAGCCAACATAAATCTTATTTAATAGATCTTGGTAAGAAGATTTTAAAAATACTTATTTTATTAAAAGCCAATATATAAATAAAAAATTGTATCATTTTAAAGTTTGATATATAAAATTAGTTACTGAGATCAAGATCGTCCATAAAAAAATTAAAAGAAATTTGTTTATCCATACGCTCGTTTTCAAATTAAAAAAAAAAAAAAATTAGATTGTCATTTTCACTAAAAATGACCCAATAAAGAGATTTTTAACCCCCCAAAAAACTCATAATTTTATGCGTATATGAATTTTATCCTATAGAAGTTGATTCAATGAGCTTTAGGGTGATTTGATGCAACTTAACTTATCTGAATTGTTTATAACTTTTTTTCTTTCTAGTTATTTATATTAGACTGTTTAATATAGTTTCTATTTATAACTTGTTAAAAAACAACTTGAATACATTTAAAAAATTTATTGTTTAGAAGTTGAGGTATGTGTACTTTTGCGCTTTTATTTTTATTTATTTATTAGCTTATAGATTAAAATCCACTGCACCAAACAATCCTTCAAAGAGTCCCCTTCCAAATGAATTCCTAACACCTAAACCCAATTCTGCTGCAAATTCCACTTATTGTGCACACAGATTGAAAAGAGTCATGTAGGGATGATAAGCCAAACGAACCGAAAAAGACCGACTCCTTGTGCAATGCCAAATCAACTTATCGGGGGGAGATACGGGCTAATAGAAATTTTCCAGATCACTTCCACATCAACATCAAACAAATGGGCTTGCAATCCCAACACTTCCTATCCCTATCAATTAGATGACTGGGCTTGCAATCCCAACACTTCCTATCCCTATCAATTAGATGACTAACCTTCATGTTCGCGACGATGCTAGGAGGTGAAACCGGTTGAAAAGTATGAATCTGAGGCATCCACTTATCCCCCCGAAACATGCATAGACTGCCCATCTCCAATACACCATCTCAACCCCACTTCAAGTAGTGGTCGTGCATGAAAAATACTCCGCCACGTGAATGAAGTATTAGTCCCCAAATTTGCCTCCAAAAACGTCAAATTGGGATAATATTTGGCCTATCAAATAACAAGTCAGGAAAGTTGAGACGTTGCCATCCCTGCTTTGCTAGAAGAGCCTTATTGAACGCCACCAACTGCCAAAACCCATCCCTTCCTCCCATTTTGACCGGCCGGCACGGCACAGCTCACGAAAACTGAAAATACAATAATCATTTCACCTTTCAACTCCCAACTCTAACCCTCTCACTTTAAAATCACTCTAAAATCTCAACTCGATGGCAATGGCTATCTTGCATATCTTGCATGAATCAGTCATTGGATGAGCTTTGGAGAGAGAGAGAGAGAGAGAGAGAGAGAGAGAGAGGTAATTAAAGCCTCCATTTGAATGCTCAAAAAAAGAGTTTGAGAGTTGAGCATTATGCAATCTCCAAATTTTTTGATTAAAAAAAAAAAGGATTAAAGGGACTGGATGTTACACCTGAAGTCCCATTATAGCACAATAAGTAAGAGCAAACCATAGTATTCTATGGTTCAAAGCAACTATTGTGGTAAAAGAATCAGCACTGCTAAAAGAATCAAGCTACCAAACACATTTTGAAACTTCTTAATAATATGAGGCTCGATCAGCTCATATGACTATAAGAACCAAACTTCTAGAGCTTGACTCAATTAAAACTCGTTTGAAATCAGTTGGAAAAGTAAACATCCCACTACTCGACTCAGCTCATTTACAACTCTACAGCTATACATCCGAGAACAATCTCCTAAGATATATTATTTTGATCAACCACACAGCACACAAATAACTAACCAATAATAAGGGCATAAAAAGTGAAAATCATCACCATTATGGTTCTGGGACCTCAACTCAACTGTGTAAAACTCAAGCTCGTTAAATACCAATCAGCACTCCAAATACAGAGACACAATGCAAATTTCAAGAACGAGGTCCCTGCGCTGCAGAACCGAAGATTAGGCTAAATTTCTAGAGATAAAAGCAACAACGGTCAAATGGTAAAAATAAGATTTTCTTGTCATTTTTGTGCAATTTGTATCAGCATTATATATAATTAATGGACAACATAAAAAAATTAGGCTGAATTTCTATTAAAAATACCCAAAACACTAAAACACTATTCCGACTCCCTAAAACAAGGATCATCATAAAACTAAAGGTAACAGACAAATACCGGGACTGGGCAGAGTGCATTCGGTCAATACAAGTACGATGAACGGTGTGTAGACACAACAGGACGGACAGCACCACCTGACCGAGAGCCACCATACGTGTCACTTTCTGGAATGGAATCAGCAAACTGATAAAGATCTGAGTTTGAGCTTCGATTCGAAACACCAATAGATGAGGGATTTGGCAGTCCGGCGAAGCCTTCCATCATCGATGGTGCCGGCCTGTACAAACCATTAACACCAAGGGCTGAGGACTCAGCATAGCTTTGACCAATTAACCTTTCTCTGAAGGACTCATCCCCATGCCACCCATATGGTTGACCATTGTGGTTAACAACTTGTCTGGCCCTATCAACTAGAATACTCCCATTAATCCCAGCATAAGACCCTGTTGGCAGAAGATCACTGGAACCTGCTGACATGGCAGCTCCAACTCTAGATGCAATCACACCGGCCCCAATTCCAGGTGATGGGCCCACACCCTGTCCATGCAGTACTGATGAGTAAGCAGAAAAACTACCATATTGAGGGATTCCACTATCCAACAAGTTTGTTGGCATCAATCGATCAGAAGAGCTATTGAGATCCACATAAGCAACAGCCTTATGCTGTTCTGGCATGTGACCAGCAAACCGTGTCCGTTTTAGCTCTTGGCTTTTCAAATTCTTTGAGGACTCGGCTTCATCTGCTTTTCTCTTTTGTGTGACCTGCTCTTTAATTTTCTTATCCAGAGCAGCAATCTCTTTCTCGAGACTAGATATCTTTTCATAGATTTGCCATCCGGAGAGAACCTTCAACGGATCGATCTTGTGATTTTCCAAACACTTGATTACCAATTTCAGATCAGCTAGGTGCTTTCTGTTTGCTTCTTTCTACACGACATTATCAAATTATCAAATTAGAAAGTAAAATCCTAACAAAATTTTTAAAAATAAAATAAAATGAAAACTACAGCATACCACAGCTGCAGATGAACCCTGGGCTTCATTTTTCACTCTCTTCCAAGTTTCTTTAGACTTTTGTAAAAAAGATGTCAAAATTGTCCGAGGAGAGAAGCTACTCTCCAGCCCAAAAGTACAAGTTATATCAACAGCTTCAACTTCCCTTTTATTCTTCATCGTCCTCTCAATTACCTCTGTGACAGATATATATCATATGAGCCTGAATATTACAAGCAACTAATCTAATCATGAATGTAAGTTGGAGCCTTGCGCACTGAGTACAACCTTTAATTTTATCATCAATGTGTCTTTATTATCACAAAATAAAATAAATATTGATGATACACAGTAATGCATGCAACCAACTTGCAATTTAGATGCTAATGTGTCCAAGACATATATCTTTGTAAGGCTATAATTTTTCTTTTAATCTGACATTCATAATATTCTCAGGATTCATTTTCTATTGATAATACAGTATCCAGTTTCTAAATTATGTACTTGATAACTAGACATTGAAAGACGATCAATGATATTACTCAAGTTTCAATAACTTAACAAAAGTATCGAAGAACAAAGGGACTACATCTATTGACTTTGTTCATAATCCGTGAAGAAAGGTTAACTTATATGACACTGTCCAAGAATTAGGCTCCGTTTGGTAAGCCTCTCAAAATATAATTCTACCCATTGATTTGAGTGTGTTGTTTGTTTGGAGCTTTCAAATCATAATTCTACACCCATTTTTCAAAACTCAATTCAAAACATAATCATTACTTTTCAAAACTCATAACCAAACACATAATTCAAAACTCATTTCAAAACTCAATTCAAATCAATATTTTAATTTTTTAAATATTTTAATATTTAAATATGTTACGATTTTTTTAATTTTTAAATTTTTTGAATATTTTTAAATATTTTAATTTCAAAATATTACGATTTTAATTTTTTAAATTTTAAAATATTTTATAAAAATAAATTCAAACTCTATTTTATAAAATTATTTTTAAATATTTTAATTTTGTTGTTATATATTTGGTTATAATTTGAGTGTAGAATTGTGAAAGTAGTATGGAGTTTCGAGTTATGTGTTGGTTATGAGTTTTAAAAATAATTTTTTAATTGAGTTTTATTTTATGTGTTTGGTTACGATTTGAGTGTAGAGTTGTTTTTAAATTTAAAATATTAACATTTTAAATTATTTAAATTTTTTGAATATTTATTTTTTAGATTATTTAAATTATTTAAATATTTATGATTTAATTTTTTGAATATTTATTTTGAAAAAAAATTATTTCTTTTGTAGTATTTTCAATTAAAAAATTGATTAATGTTATTTTCTGTTAATAATAATTTTTTTAATTGAATTTTAAAAAGAGTTTGATTATGAGTGTTGATCAGAATTTTTAATAGTGCGAAAGTAGTGTGTTTTGTTATGAGTTATAATAATTTAAATTAAGTTTTGAAAACCCTTTCCAAAACTCATAACCAAACAAATTTTCTTACTTCACATGTCAAATCAAACTTTCAAAACTCAATTCAACACTCTATTCAAAAATCATAACCAAACAAATTTTCTACACTCAAATTGTAATTTCACAACTCACAAACTCAAAATACAACTCATACTCTCAAATCGTATTTACAAAACTCTACCAAACGCAACCTTAGACTCTTTGGCGTGCACACTATCTTAGAATACCAGCAAAATTTTGTGATATGACTAAACTAAATTTTCCAAAAAAAAGAGCTAGAAATAATAAGTCTAAACGATGAACGTAGCTGGTATGCAGATGCCAAGATTATAGGGTTAAAATGCTAAAAAATAAAAAATAAAAAAGGAAAAATTTATTATATCAGTAAGAAAAGAAGTTAGAATGAGAATATCAACAACAATGTCAGGGAAAGTCGCCAGCCCATGTGAGATGAAGACTTGTGAATGTGAAAGGCAGTCAGTGACTGATTCAAGCTAAAGGTGGCCAAAGACAAGGGTGGCAAAACTGAGTTTGGTTACGGTGCCAAAAAACATGTGGTAAAGGATTTAGTAGATGATGGCTTTTGATAGAGCTGAATGGGAAAAAAGGATTTATGTGTTCAACTTCAAGTGGTCCAGCTAAAAGCTTTCTATATTGCTGAATTGACTCAATTATAAGTGATTCATAAGATGGAAAAAGCCGACACTTGTATGACAGAGACTATGATCCTGGTCAAAGGAAAACATATCACTCAAGTAATTATCACTTGGTTGGCTCAAAGGTTCAAGATATTTCAAATGTATTCCATTCAATACAAATAAGGGGATTTTAAAAGGTAGGCTGATCCAATCTTTCTAAAATCAGCTCCGAGGTGTTCTTCATGGTTATGCCAATGTTGGCTAGTCAGATTCCTTTGTCCCTGTAGAGAAATGATATAATATAAGTCTCTCAGACTTCCTGTAATTAGGAGTCGTTGGAAGCAAGGATTGAATCTCGTTTCTTTAGGACGAAACAGCTGGGTGGAACCTACACGAATCTAAAATGAAATACCAAAATTCTAGACCTTCGATTGAAGCAATGTCACTTCAGCGTGTTTCACAAAACACCATTGTTCCAACCAGAACATTTGCCGGAGACTACACAATTAGTATGATAGTCAGGAATTCTGGCAAAAGTTTTAAAATTTTCAAAATATCCAACAAAATCTAACCCCACCCATTCAGCTAATGTGAGACTAAACAGAGAAAAAGAGAGATGAGGCATGACCAAAGGGTTCAACTTTGTCAAATAGAGGCCGAGGGCTTGCTGACCAGGAATTGCAGTTCAGATCTGTGGTCTATCGGGTCAAGTACTTCTTCTTCTTGCTTCATTTAAATCTGTAATTGGGGAAGTTGGAACCATAGCCAAACTGTGGAAATCAACAGTTGCACACTCTCTCGTTAAGTCATTCTATGCTTCCACCATCTTCTTTTTTTTATTTCATTTGTTGGACCTCGTTACTTAAAAAATATATGTATCATGAATCATGATGTAGACAAGTATTAATATTATATATTATTTGTGGTCCCCAATTAAGCATTCAACTATTAACACAATTACATTTTATTTTTCATAAGGAAAATTACACTGTACACCCTTGAGGTTTGGATAAAATACAATAAGCCTCAAAGATTTGGCATATGTTAACTCCAATGTAATTATGTTAAAATTGGGGAACTATATAAAATATACAAGTTCCCAACCTTAGAAATTTTTATATGGCCTCGCTCTTTACTCGCCCCTGCTTTGTGCGACTAAAAGTGAGAAGTGTAATTTTTTCAATGCTTTTAAAGCATGCTCATGTGGCCATAACATGAGCCTATGTTACATGGACTAAGCAGTTTGAGGGAAGTACCCATGTCATCACGACACGGATATGGTATCTGTGTCAGATGTGGCACTGGTTACCATGGACATGGCTGACAGACATACGAAACAACAAAGCACAAAGGCAAACTACTTACAGTAATTGGTTTTGTACGCTGTTTCTAATCGTTGTCACACAACCAAGTTGAAGCAAATCAAGCCCCTTTGCCATCGAAACAGATCAGACCTGGTACTCTCAATTAAATTGATAGAAACTTGTGTCATGTCGACTCTCCCTCTAGATGTTTCAACATCCCAAAAAAACCCATTTTGCCCAGACTTCTTAAAGCCATAAATCCAGATTTTAATCTCGTATGGCATATACATAATGTTGCCCACTTTCGGCCTATTATGATGTGTCATTTAATCTAAATAAATTTGACCTTCAAAATATTTAAATATGTAATAAAATTATTAGGGGGCTGCCACACTAGAGTAAAAATCTGTTAATATAATTAAAGATGATGTTTGAAAGTCAGATTTAGAATATAGAAGGTCACTAATTTAAATATCAATGTAGAATTCAAGCTTTTATAGTTTCCCTTATAAACTATGTCATATCCAAAGCAATCAAAAGATTTCTTTATTAAATAGGAATTAAAATTAATAAAGATATATATTAATCAATAAAAATTGAAGATAATTTTATTTTATATTTTAGATCAATTCTTTATTGTTGTCCAATGTTTTATGTTGTGACCCCGTATTTGTATCCACTTTTTGGACACTTTTTAGGCAAGTCCCCTTATCCTACAATTAGAACAATATGCAACTCCGACATCTCAGTAACATAGATGTGAGCACATTCTATCCATTTCTTTAACACTGAGTAACCGGAGGACTAAATTGAAGCAAAGGTTGAAGTCTGTGGACTTAATTAATGCAATTAGAATATGAGAGACCAAAATAAAAATCCAATGAAAGTTTCAAGGGTGGAAAGTGCAATTTACCCTAAAGTTTATTATTTTAAAAAGTAAAAAAATCTGCATTTTCATATTTTGTTTTCCATATTATTTAACCCATTAAAATTATTACTTGAACTCCCTAGTTATCCCATAATCATGAAAACCGTTGTCATTTTCATATTTTGTTGCACCCTAGTAAACCCCCACCCCCGAAAAAAAAGAGTAAACATTTTCAGTATTCTTGAATTTATTTTTCATGTACACTTCAAATTTTTTATAACCAAACCAAACCTTAAGTCCCATCAAATGGGGTCAGTTGCATTAATCCTTCTTCTCCACTCGAGTGTATCTAAGACCATTTCATTAGTAAAATTAAGGAGATTCATATATCAATTTACTATACTAGTCCATGTCAATCTAGGTCTACCCATTCCCCTAACACTACCATCTACCGTCACTGTATCGTATCTCTTCACTACTGCCTTTGTTAATCTCCGTTGTATATGACCAAACCATCTCAATCTATTATCTCTCAACTTATCTTCTATTGGTACTACTCTTATCTATTCTCAAATATAATCATTCCTAACTCTATCTTTTCTAATCTTGCCACTCATTCACCTTAACATCATCATCTCAACAACACTTATCTTCTCTACATGTTGTTTCTTAATTGTCCAATATTCCGTCACATACAACATCGCGGTCTAATAGTAGTTTTATAGAACTTCCCTTTTAGCCTAATGGATACTCGTTTATTGCACAGTACTCCAGACGCACTCCTCCACTTAAGCCACCCCGCCTTAATTCTGTGGACCATATCCTCTCCAATCTCTCCAGTCGTTGTGATAATCAATCCAAAATAATGAAAATATTCACTCTTAAGTAGTTCTTGATTCTCAATCTTCACTTCTCTTCTGCTTCTATTGTGACTGTTACTAAAATTACATTCCATATACTCTTAATTCTGCTTATCCTAAATCTTTTATATTCAAGTGTTTTTCTCCAAATCTCTAACTTAGGCCTCGTTTGGGGAGTGGCTATTTTAGCCAATAAGCCAAAAAGTCAACTAAAACTAGTCACATCACCTCTCTATTTTTCTGCACATCTTTTCGTAAAAAATCAAAAAGTTACTAAAATAGCCTGTTCCCAAACGAGGCCTTAATATTAACTCATTTTCTAGTCTCATCTACTAACACGATATCATCTGCAAAAAGCATATACCATGGCATATCATTTTGAATATTGCATGTCAACTCATCTATAATTAAAGCAAAAAGATAAGGACTTAATGTTAATTCTTCGTGTAACCCTAGAGAAATTGAAAATTCACTCATCTCTCCAACAGACGATCTAATAGTGGTCACAATACCTTCATACATATCCCTAATCACATCAATGTAACCTCTTGTCACCCCTTTCTTATCTAACACCCACCAGATTATATTCCGAAACACTCTAACATATGCTTTCTCAAATCGGTAAAAACCATATGAATGTCTTTTTTCTTTCCTCTATATTTTTCTATTACTCTCCTAAAAAATAAGATCGCTTCCATTGTTGACCTACCAGACATAAACCTAAATTGATTCTCTAACACCTCTGTTATATCTCGCAATCGACGTTCTATCACTCTCTTCCACACTTTCATTGTGTGACACATTAACTTGATTCATCTATAGTTGTTACAATTCTGAACATCTCATTTATTCTTATATATTGGCACTAAAATACTTTTCCTCTACTCCTCTGACATTTTCTTAGTCAATAAAATCTTACTAAATAACCTAGTCAACAAAACAACCCCCTTCTTACCTAAACATTTTCACGCTTCAATAGGTATATAATCGGATCCTAAAGACTTATTCAATTTCATTTTTAACCTTTAATTATTAAAAGAGCACATTCAAATTTTATAAACAAAGACCTCAATGCACTTAAGCCAATACATCCAGTGGTCCCCAACCCCCATCATGTGATTTCATAATATGGTATCATATATATATATATAAATTTTAGACGATATAATCAAATGTGAAATCATGTATACTCGGATTTGTGTGGCAACTAAATACTTGACATTATTCAAATTTTGTTGACTATTTTCGATTCACATTTTCACTTACTATCCAATTCATCAATAATATCTCTAGTCCAAATGACAGTATACCCCCCTCAAATACATTCAATTATTGACTTATTAACCTAAGAAACACATATAGACGGACTTTAGTGTATTTTTCCAAATGTTTCTTGATACTTTCTCTGTTTCCATCATGTTTCTAAAACGTTTATAAAAAAAAAAGGATCGAAATGACCCACCAAAACAAAAATTTGATCCTTTCTTAGAAAACAAAGAGTTCTTTGTCCTGGTAATTTCAATGCTTTTCCTTAGAAAGATTTGTGGTTCTCCTCTTCAACAAGCTCCTAAAGGTGTACATCATCAATGAAATTGAGATTCAAGTGCAAGACGTTGATTGAGTGGGATAGACTTACCCAGGTAAATCCACTTCTGTCATCCCTAAATCCTTGCTTTCTTATCACAACATTCTCACTTTCCCCCACTTGTATTTTTCGAAATAGGAAATATGGGGTTTTTCTACCTTTCTTGTCTTTGAAGTTGTTGATAGTGTTGGGAAAGCTAATCTTGGTGATGCACTTATATTTGGTTATGGTAATAAAAATATATATATTTGTGAACCTTCCAGCCTTTCCCAAAGTCTTGTTGCAATTATGAATTTTTTATCACTTCTTTAACAAAAGGCAACTGATACGCCGTAAACTTTTCATAGTGAATTGACAAGAGGGCAACATTATCTAGGGTTCATAGATAAATGTGTTTCAAACCTCACTTCAAGTCACCATCCCCTTTGCTTCAGTGCCCTCCCCAATTTAATGGGGTATAACTATTTTTTCATTTAGAATTGAGGCTCTACCATTCTCTAGCCAAAGCTTTCAGTAATTTTCAGGAGGTTTTGTTCAGGGTGGGAGGGATTTACAGCTAGAAGAAATCAAGCACTGTTACACCTTTCGGTTGAGACAAAGCAAAGAGAGAATTTAAGATGAGACAGAAAGGACTGATTCATTGGAAGCAAATGAATTCTTCAATAATGAATTGCAGATGAGATAAATAAAACTTGAGGAGATTAAGAAGCAAACCAGAAGAGAGAATTTTAGATGAGATTGCAAGGTTTGATTCATTAGAGCAAAGGGCTGTTGGATGTTGAATTGCCAATGAGATGAACAAAAGCCAAGGATTAAGAACAGCATTAAAGAAATTCTTCTTAGAGACAACACTAACCACGGACAAAAGTCTATAATCAAGTAACTTACAAATGATGAATTATCTTGCAAGATTGCTAATGACAAAAGTTAGAAAAGTTTCCTCTGCAAGATTTCAATTTGTGATATACTGGTAAAAAAAAAAAAAATCGATTGCAATATCCTTTGGCTCCCAATCCAACCTCTCCTCCATCAATAACATTGATACACACAAAGAGTCATTAGTATCCAATTTGCAATTTAAGAGCTTCAGTTTGAAAAGGCCTTCTGATCTTAATTTTGGGAGGTGACCAATGTTGATATGAAAAGAACCACATCACTGGATGTATTGACATAATTGAGGACATGAAAGCCAAAAAATACTGTGAACATACATTGATGCCAATCTCATCACTCATTTACAAAGTAAAAGGTTCAATCAATCTAAAAGACTTACCTCCAATCAACTCATTCCAGAACTCCATAAATCATGTATGAAGTTCAACCAAATCTCGTTAGTGTGCTAATTTATGGCAGCAGTGCTGAGTTTATGTCCATATGACTAGTAAAAAAAGAATAACAAAAGGTTTGTGCTTTTGCATTTAAAGCTTTGTCATTTTGCATTAAACTTACTGTTACAAATGCATGAAGATACAATAAAAGAAAAAATCAAAATAATAAAAGAGGGGCTGCTATCGGATTGGGATTTGTCTGTAACCTTCAAAGCTGTGGACGGTTGCTCTCCCTGGGTCATCAACTGGGGTTGGTTTCAAAAAGGTTATAATTTCTTTGGCTTACTAATGTAAATATCAAAAGCTGATGACCTAGTTTCCCCTAGCTTCTTTTCGAATAATGTCTGGGGTTTTGCTCATAGAACAATGGATATTGATCACATCAAAGTACTAATAGGGTAGCCAACAAGACTACTGGTCTATGGCACATAAATGTTCCATGGAAGCTCTTCATTTAGCTTTAAGCATGGCAGCTTGTTGGAAATGGATCTCTATATTGGGAGGTGGTGGACTATACCACATGATGCTGCTTCCTATTGCTAAGGAATTCGTTGTGAGAGGTTTTCTATATTCATCTTCTCTCATTATCTTATAATAATTGTTGCTCTGACTATATTTTTTTTCTCAATAACAACAATCTAACCGGGGATCATTTCAGTGTTCTAGCTTAAACATAAAAACAAAATTGGCATAATGATTAAGTATGAATTCAATAACCTAAGCCATAAACCAACATCGAACATTTGACAACAATAATTTGGCACATTAAATGCACAAGAAATACCTGGAATCCTTGCGAGAAGAACATGTGACCGGCGAAGAACATCAGCAATCTCCCTCGCTCGACCCGCCCGAACCAAATCCTTAATATCATCGTTCGTGAATGCACCGGGTATACCAAAACAACCGATCAAAAGAAGCAAACCCCGACCGTCAATCTGACAAGCTTTAACCAGACCCCCTTCACTGATGAGCCTCTTCCTCCAATCTAACGCCGACGACTCTGCCTCTTCTTTCACCTTAGCCTCAATCTCATTACCATCAAACCCCATCATCAGAAAAAACTCAAGAATCAAAACCGAAGCTTGCCTCCCCGGAATCATCGGCGAGTCCTTGCAGTAGGCTTTGATCCCCTGAAGGAAAAACCGGCCGAAACAATCCAACACGAGCTTCGCAGGGTTTTCCGCAAACTTCAAAGCCGATGGAACTTCTTCACGAAGCTTCGAAACATTCGATAGATTCGATGTGATATACCTTCGAATACTGCGACTACACATCCTTTTGCAATACAATTCGATCTCCGAATGAGACGATTGATTATTATCCGTAGCTTGTTCCGATTTATCCAATTCAGCTACAGTTGTCGTCTCTGGTACATCGGAAGCTAGGGTTTCGGCAATAGGAACAATTGCAGGGGCGGTTATTGTCTCCTCCGGTACGTCGGAAGCTAGGGTTTCGGCGATCGGAGCAATAGCAGGGACGGTTGTTGCCTCGGGTACTTGGGAAGATAGGGTTTTGGTGATTGGAACAATTGCAGGGGGCGTTGTTGTCTCAGGTACCTGGGAAGATAGGGTTTTGATGATCGGAACAATTGCAGGGGCGATTGTTGTGTCTGATACGGGGGAAGATAGGGTTTTGGAGAGAGGAAGAATTGCAATTGGAGGAGAGGGGTGGGAATTGGGGAGCAATTTGGAGTCGATGGAGGTTTGGATGAAATGGAGGTGTTCGTGAAGCTCGTCGTAGCGGCGGTGGAAGGCGGAGAGGGCGGCGGAGAGATTGCGAAGGTGGTACACTGAATTGATAAAATGGGGTTGTTGTGGATTGTTTGGGACTGTGAGTTCTTGTTTGATGAGGGTTGGGGGTTGCGAGGGTAGGGGTGGCGGCGGTGAGGGGTTGTGTTCCGCCTTGACGGGCGGAGGAGGGGCGGCGATGCGAGACATGATGGTGATGGTGGTGACGGTGACGTCGTGGTGTTCTTTGCTATGCGAAGAAAAAGAAGAGGTCAACACTTTGGATTAGGAGAGAGAAAAATGGCCTACGGTTTCCCAAGCTCTCGCGCAAACGGAAAATTATTAAGGCTTCGTTTTGGAAGGGAAGTGGCTTTTTAATTATTTTATTTTAGAGTTAAAAAATTTGTTTTGGAAAAAGTTTTTGATTTTTTTTGTTTTTTTATTTTTATTTTTTTTTTATAAGAGAAATAATATAATGATTACGAATTGAATGTGATATTTTATCTTATTGAATTAAAAAACTTATTTTATTTTTTGTGACTATTTTAGTCAAAAAAAATTCTAAAACTAACTTTCCAAACATAGGTAAGGGTTCCATGAAGGTTTGGGTTGAGTTAGGTTATTTTAGTTGCGAGGTAAAATAGTCTGAAAAAAGTTTTTGATTTTTTTTTGTTTTTTTATTTTTATTTTTATTTTTTTTGTGAGAGAAAGAATGTAATGATTACGGATTGAATGTGATATTTTATCTTATTGAATTAAAAAACTTATTTTATTTTTTGTGACTATTTTAGTCAAAAAAAATTCTAAAACTAACTTTCCAAACATAGGTAAGGGTTCCATGAAGGTTTGGGTTGAGTTAGGTTATTTTAGTTGCGAGGTAAAATAGTCTTTTTAATTCAATAAGACAAAATGTCATATTTCAATTATAATTTTTTTTTTCTCATAAAAGTTAAAAAAATTTAAATATTTATCACAAGACTTTTTAACCTCAGATTAAAATAGTCAAAAAGGCAAAAAACCAACTTACATCCCAAACGAAAGCTAAGACTATGTTTGGCATGTTAGTTTGGGGTTATTTCAGTCACCAAAAGATAAAATAGGTTAAAAAGTTGAGGGTGATTCTACTTACACCACTATTTAACCTCTTTACACCCTCCATTTCATTACACCACTAAAAAATATAATTCTCATTACACCCCCAATATATTACCAAAACTAACCCTAACTTAATTATTTCATCTCTTTACACCACTAATTTTTTAAGGAAAGAGAAAATCAATAGAGGAAGAGAGAAAACAGGGAAGACGGGGGGTTCCAACATAGAGAAGACAAGTTGTTCAGACGACGGGAAGGGGTTCGAACGGCGTTGTGGTCTATGTCACCGACCAAAATGATTGAAGTCATTCTTCTCATTCACCAAAGGTAAGTGAATAACTCTTCTTTCTCTCTCTATATTGACAGACATATATATGTATCTCTATCATCTATATCATCATTTTTTGCGAATAAACAAGAATAACACATTCCCAACATAGTTTGGGTGGTTTTGATCTTCAAATTTAAGTGAATTTGTGATTTTTGGTGCTAGTTTTGAATATTGAAGTTTAGATTTTTGTTCTCTATTTTGTCAAATTTTTTTTCTCTGTTTTGCATGTGGTTTTGAATGGTGAAGCCTTCTTTTTGAAGGTCTATCACAGTTTTTCCCTAACAAAATCTAACCAATTATAAATCAGTTCTTATTTACTTTTTTTGGTTGCTGTAGGCAAATGTACTATTTGCTTTCCATGAAACTTTACCTGGGTTTACGAACCTTATATGGAGCAAGATCCATTTTATTGTTGGTTCTATTTTTTACTACTTTATTCGTAAGACTAATTGGATCAAAATGATAATACAAAATTCAAAATATTGAACTACTAAAAAACTATCACCAATTGACACTTATCCCTCCCAAAAAAATTAAAAAATAATAATAATCTACCACTAATTTGTAAGTCTGTGTGAAGTTTTTCTTAAAAGACCTTACTAATTGAGAAACTTAAACTTGAGATGAGATTTAGGGACTCTTGAATATATTGGGGAAAAAAATATGTAGTAACACTAATAATATTTTGTGTGCACACGTAAAGGATCTCTTAGAGGATCTATTGTAGGCTAATGGTAGATGAGAGAAACCATGGTGCATTGGAAGACATATTAATATTGTTAGATAGATGCCCATTTGAGGGACGTGGAGTTTCACACTTATTTCCACAACTATAAGTGAGTTCTTGGATTTCATAAATGTTCCTGAGTTAACGGATGTACCTTTAGATGAGGCAATATAAATGTTCTGTAATAATAGAGAGATACATACCCTTTTAAGGATTAACACATTTTTTTTTTTTTGGAAGAGCACTTCTCCTCCTGTTCTTTAACATCTTTATCCACGTCCAATTTTGGATCATATTCCCATTATTTTTGGGTTGTGAAGGCTTTTAGTTTTTAGCTTTGGGTTGTGAAGCATAGTGATGAAAAGTAGTTGATGAGTTTTTTTATGCCTTGTACACAGTGGAAATGGTTTGACAAGATAAGGATAGGATGATGTGGGAAGATAATAATGGAAAATTCTCATTCAAATCCTACCATGATATTCTTGGCATTAGTACAAATATATATTTTCCTAGAAAAAAAATTGGAATTTGAAAATCAAGGGCTTTGTCTAAGTTGGCTTTTTTATTATTATTATTTATTTGGACAATAGCCTTGGATTTTATCCTCACTACTAATAATTTAGATAGCAGGCGTAAGACATTACCAAAATTGAGTTGCATGCAGAGTAATACATGGATCACCTTCTTATCAATTGTAATGTAGCGTGAGAGTTACAAAGCTCATTATTTTTTATGTTTGTGTCCATTGGGTCATGTTGGCTTCAGTTATTTCGTTGTATGAATCTTGGGTTACAAGCTACAAGAATAAGAACAGTGAGGAAGGCTTCGATGATAGCTCCCATGTGTGTGTGATGTGGTGGTACATATCAAGAGAGAGGAAGCAACAAACGGTTGAGGATGTTGTATAGCCTGTACATAGATTAAAATCAACTTTGATGTATACTTTTCATTATTGGCTTTCAAGTCATTTTTTTATAGGTCAGCTTAGTTTTAGAGATGGAATTTAGGTTTGTCTTATTCAGCCTGTGTACTAAGGTGGTGCCCCTTTTGGTGCTTTTGTATATATATTTAGAACTTTAAAAGCAGGTAGTTATATATCTAATAACAACTAAATTAGTACAAAATCATTACAATAAAATAGACTTAAAGAGATGTAATTAAAAATAAGTCCATTACAAGAGAAAAAGTTATCAAATTAAATTAGGGAAAAAGATTTGAGACCCACAGTGGTACATGGCAAGTTGTTATGTGTCAACTTTTAATACAAAATGTAAACAAAAAGAATTTCATACAATTTTAAGCATAATAAACTTTTTCTATAACAATAAACAAGCATAGTCCAAGAGAATGAGTTACAACTTCGTCTAAAAATGAATCCATACACTTAGATGGTTTTTACAAAATATTGTACAATTGCTCTTTAACCAGAAATCTCATCTAGCTATGCACACATGTTATATGTGTCTAAATCTAATATATTTATTGTCTTGCTTTCGTATACTTCTAATGATCTCGTAGTGTGCTTGTACAGCAAAGCCCATCTGAATGTGTACGGGGATACCACCAGTGGTATGCTCGTGTTTTGCATCGAGTTGTTCAGAATCCTACGCATCACTCTCAGTTTGATCCATGTGTTCAACGTCCCGAGAATGATGTTAATATGGATCCCGAGTGGGTAAGCGAATTGTGAATTAACTTATTTCACTTTTAAGTGGTTCACCATAAATCAAACACTAAGTATGATTTTTATCATTTTTTTTAATGATGTTGCTTTCAGTGTTGGTGCTGCAGTTCGTAAGCTCAATCGTGATGAGTGTGTCTTGCACCTTGACATGCTGTATGAAACCATTGGTAGGATACTGCAAGTTCTTGATGGACAGAGTGGGGGATCTACATCGACACATACACAACATCAAGTCTATTATCATAAACGTCATAGGATGGACCGTACATGAGGATTGGGATCTAGTTTTTTTTTTTATGTCATAGTTATGTGAATGTGTTGATCGTACATGAGAGTTAGGATCTAATTTTTGTTTGATGACATAGTTTTTGTGAATGTCTAACCCGTACAAAGTTTGAGATATACTTTTGTGTTTACCTTACATGAGAGTTGGGATCTAGTTTTTTTTGGATGGCACAGTTTTTGTGAATGTATAGCCCGTACATGGTTTGGGATATACTCTTTCCTAATGGCATAGTTTTTGTAGATGTCTTGGATCAAATGTAAATTGGATGTTTGGTTAGACAAGTAATGAAGTGTTATCATTTTGGTGAACATATGGATTTGTTATTGTTTGTAATGCTTTATAATGATATTAAAATGTTTTTGAGTGATATGGTGCCATTTTTTGAAAGTAACATTGGTTTTTCAGCGCTACAACCCAGTTCAATCGTACACTGTTAAACAATTTTCATTATTCTGGTGTTACGTTGCCGACAAAAATAGATCTCTCCAGCATTTTATTGTTATAGATTTACAGAGACACTTTCTTCAAAACAATGATTTTCTAATTTGTGCTGGGTCTGTTCAATAATACAATGCTAATGAATTTGAATTACTCCAGTGCTATATTACCATGCAAACTATTTTTTCTAGCATCATGTTGCCGTTCAATTGGATAATTTCAATTTGCTTCACAATCAAGGCATTGGAGCCCATAGTGAAATGTCTGTTTGGTAACACAGTGCTAAACAATTTACATTATTTCGGTGTTATGTTGTCGAACAAAATAGATCTCTCCAGCATTTTGCTGCTATACATTTATAGAGCCACTTTATTCAAAATAATGATTTTTTAATTTGTGGTGGGTCTGTTCGGTAATACAACGCTAATTAATTTGAATTACTTCAAAGCGATGTTACCGGACAATATTTTTTTTCCCAACATTATGTTGCTGTCTAATTGGATGATAACAAGAAATTAATTTGGGCCACTTGTGAAGTGTCTATTCAGTGATATATTGCTATACAAATGGGATTACTCTGGTGTTATGCTGCCAAACTACAATAGAGTTGTCTAGGCTCTTGTCGTTGTACATTAAAAGATTTACTTTTTCCTTCAAGCATCCATAAAAAAATTCATAAATCAAACACGCATTCATAAAATCATACATAAAAAGTATCCATAAAATTATTCATAAAAACATCAAGTGTACGAATATCCATAAAGCATCCATAAAATCTACTA